GTAGCATGGATCAAAGCATTTGTTGGATTTCAGCTTTTACAAGCGGACATCAACGCAGTAGTATTTTAGCAAGCTTACGAACGCATATAGGATACCATCAGGATTGTCATTGGTAAGTTGAAGAGGAGATACTTTTACGATGTAAATGACAGTAGAAATAAGTCCTACATATATATGTTGTTGTACTTCGTATTGGTTTAATATTCATGTAGAGTATGAGACATTATGTGAAAGTTTTCTGAGGTACATCTGCAATTGTCGGAAGGCAAAAATAAATAAAATAAAATTTGTTATTGTTGTTGTTTCCCACATTAGCTCAATAGTCCACAAAAAATGGGGAGCCCGTGGTCTCAAAACCCGGCACATATGACGCCGCGGGGAAACAAAAAAAAACTCTTTTCTATGATAGAGATGGACTCGTTGTGTCATAATATTAAGAAAAAAAAAAAAAGAGGGTACAAACCACTTGGAAAAAGAAAGCAAAATGACAAAAAGAAAAGGCGGCCACGTCAGGAGGCAATAATGAGATAATGTTCTCCCGTGCCATTACACAACAAGGTGAATATGTTCTCACATGCCCCCATACATCGCACACAAAAAATAAGTTGAAAATATTTTATACAGAACGGGTACTCCCTGTAGGGTACCGGGGGTGTCACAGGTCGCCCTGGTGGTCTAGTGGGTAGCCTCGCAGCCTGCTAAGGGCCAGGTCATGGGTTCGAGTCCCGGCAGAGTCAGAGTAAGTAATTTCTCACAAATAAATCCTGGTCTAGGATGAAAGCGACGCGCTGCAAAGCTCGTTCGTTAGGAAACCATAATCGACTTCGTAAGTCGCGAGGGAAGGGATTGCTGTAGTACCCTTTCTCGCGATAAAAATACATCAGACAGGAACCGCAGGAAGGGATCCGCCCCCCCCCTCCCATGTGACCCCGGTTGGGTCGTCCAGCTGGTAGAAGTGGAGGATAGGGGCTAGAGGGGCAGACGACAGAGAGAGTCCAATGTAGGGAGAAAAAAACAAAAACAAAATAACACAAACAGAAAACCACAGAACTATTCTGCAGGGTACGGGAGGTGTCACAGAATCCACAGAACTATTTTGTAGGGTACGGGAGGTGTCACAGAACCCACAGAACTATTCTGTATTGTACAAGGGCGTTACAGAACTATTCTGTAGGGTACGGGAGGTGTCACAGAACCCACAGAACTATTCTGTATTGTACGGGGCGTTACAGAACATACAAAGTTTGTTGTCTGCAGGGAAATTACAGAGGGTAATTACCCCCGGTAGAGGTCTGTAAGTACCCTACAGAACACACCCGTGAAAATGTTAATATGTATACACCCCGAGAGGCGCTTGCTCCGCAACCACATATATAAGGGTGCCATAGTAGAACACAATGGTATACATATGACCTATAGTAAAAAATCATTAATAGAACACCCGACAAACCGATTTCCCCTAGATCTTCCGTCTGCAACTTCCCAACATAACATTCAGATAGATACATACACAAGATGGCTACCAATCTGCCTTGTTGAGCCTGTTACCCACAGGGGAGATATCGTTTTATGCTGCCTGGGAAACCGTAGACATACAGGTAGCCTTTCGCTCACGCTATGGATTCATTGCTATCTATCTTAGACTTATTTCTATTGATAGAGATGGAATTGTTGTGTGATATTAACAAAAAAAATGGGAAATGGACACAAGTGGGTAAACAGTGCCGGCCCGCAATTAAGAACCGCCCATATTGGGCGAGGCTCAGTTCTTATTGGCTGCCCCGACCCGAGCACCAGTTCTTATTTGCCAAGTTCTTATTTCGTCGTCCATTCTTCTCCAGAATGGGGCGTTCTTGTTCTTGCAGTATTTTAACATCATGTGCTATATTGTCGGCTGTCAATCATGAGCAACACTAACTAGTACTGCTGTCGATACATGAAAATACCAAGGCATGGAGCAGCAACTGTCAACCTTCTTGGTCCACAAGGGTGACATTGGTCCTGCGTACTCTTCCTGGCCTACTATAATGCTCTCAAGCGAAACCGCAAGGGGGAACACTGACAATGAAACGTGTCCCTTGCAAGTAGAGTGAAAAATTTATGACCGACTTCCTCGCCAAAATTCCCATGCATCTAGGTGACAACGGCAAATATCGGAAATGCCGAAATGCCGCCAAAATTTTACTGAACCAGAATTCTTTCTACCCTTCAAAGAGTCAGTCAGCCAAGTATGCACATGAAGGAGCGCACACGCGGCCATTCGCCTGAGCTACTCCCCCACCTTTCCTGGTTTTCGGAGCTAGCCGGCAATACGGATCCAGCCGTTGTGTGATGCGTAATCATCTCCGTTAGGATTTGAGGAGGACGGAGTCTAAAGCTGTAGAGAAGCACTGCGCCTGTTCGCTCGTTCCTACTGCTGCTTGAGACTGACTTGGGCCCTCCAAAACTCCGACAGGTACGAACAAACTCCTTTGTGTGTGGTCGAAGATGGACTGCGTCTTTGTACAACCCCAACATGCCACCATGCACAACATACTGCTGCTGCCGTTCACCTGTCGCTGCCCTTCCACGCCTACCTGTCCATGACACGTGCTGCCACTTGATGCGACAACATCTGGGAACAACGAGGACACAGGGAGCACTCCCCCTACCCATACACACACCAAAATTGAACAACCTCTCATTCATTCCTCCCTTTCCACATACAACTGATGTAGATGCATGAAATGATACACTCTGTCTTTACTTATGGTCCGCGCTGTCTACGAATGGAAAAGGTAGCCATACTTTCTGCGACACACGGGCGAGAGAGGTGACGATACCCACTGCAATTAACACATACCCACATGTCGGTGATGAAACCTCAACCACACGCCTCTCGAGTCTATCGGCGGCCACGTCAGAAGGATATGATGCGATAATGTTCTGCCGTGCCCTTCGCACATTTATTGATGCAATTACACAACACCGTCCCGCACATGCTCCCATATATCACACACAAAAAATAAGTTGATGACGAAAATATACACACCCCGAGACGCGCTTGCTCCCGCGCTTGCTCCGCAACCACATAAGGGTGCCGTATCAGAACACCCGACAAACCGAGTTCCCCTAAATCTTCCGTCTACAACTTCCCAACATAACATGGAGATGGATACACAAGATGGCTACCAAACTGCCTTGTTGAGCCTGTTACCCACAGGGGAGATATCGCTGTATGCTGTCTGGGAAACCGTAGACATACAGGTAGCCTTTCGCTCACGCTATGGATTCATTGCTAATCTAACTTAGACTTATTTCTATAGATAGAGATGGATTTGTCGTGTGATATTAAGAAGTAAAAAAAAAACACGAGCCTACAGCCGCATCCGAATCTCCGCTGTACTTGACTTAGGACAACTTCATCTTGCGCGTACTCTGGTCTAGCTCCAGCTGCACACAGTAGTCGTACAGGTGGCGAGTTTCCTTCTGAGATTGTTGAGTGACCAGCCCTCCAAACCACCCCATGCCCAGCCTAACGAGCACTCCACGCCGGAAAATCAATCTGTCAAGGGCATCGGATTTAGCTTCTTGAATCCGAAAGCCTGCCGGGCTCTCCACTCCCTGTATCTCATCCTCCGGGTCTTGTGGGTTCGTGCTGTCGTCGTCGTCCAGAAGAGCTAGCTCGTCGGTCTGGGGTTGAGAGATGTCTGCGAACGAGGCAACGGGAAACACAAGAAGTTAGGGTGTCACGTCGCCAAACTCAACCTGAACTTATCATAATTTGAGTGTAGCCGTGCGCGGAAACAAGCTAACGTCAGCATGAAGGACATTGTCATCAACTAAAGAAGATGAAGAGTTGGTTTTGTGCAAATCAAACTTACCTCCGTCGTCTTCATCGCTGGAGTCAACGCCCTCCATGAGCGTCTCACGTCCTCCATCGCCCTCCTCCGCCCGTCCCTCAGGCTCATCGTTGCCGTTCTCCGAACCTTGTTCGTCGTCGCTACTGCATTCATCGTTAGCGAAGGTATACGGCTTGTCCAAACCCTCCAAGGTGATTCGATCATCGCCCGAGCCGTCCACGGTCATGGCCATCCCGCACTTTTGGAAAAGACGGTGTCGGTACGCCTGTTGGCTGTTGAGTCTTGCCATGGCCGCTCCCATCCACTGAGTGATTAGGACGCGCCGATCAGAAGCTGTCAGCGACGCGGTTTCTCCCCTCTCGAGGTTGTCCGACTGCTCGAGCCATATGTCCATCTGCCTCCCGACTTCCACCTTGAGACATCGTCTGGCTCCTGAATCAACTGGCTGCACCTCGTCCGTGCACAACGAAGGGTCATACCAGGCGAGAGTGTTGCAGTGCTTCGCAAGATACTTCGTGAACTCGTCCGTGGTCTGCGCGTGCAAGTTGTCCATGATAAGAATGGACCTCGCCTTGGGGAGCTCACCCCGGTCGCGCATCACGCTTTTCTCGGGGGCACCCAGGGGCACGACGCGTGCGTACAATGCCCACCCTCCCCCTCTAAAAAAATACACATGTTGATATGTGGGGTATGTACCCCTCCCAAATCCAGTACTCTGTACTCTGGGATCTCTCCCCCCTCTTCCCTCTCTCCCCCTGCGAGTATTCTTATCTGGCATCCGCTGCATTGCTGTCGTTCTTATTTGTAGCAGCAGTGTTGCACCTCAGGTAGGTGTGTCTTCTTGTTCCTAACAGGGCGTGCAGCTGAGCACGTGTTCTTATCGGTAAATTCTTAAATTTTGGATTTTTTTAGTATCAAATTCTTAAGTGCCATATTCTTAAGTGCGGGCCGGCACTACTGTACCCACCCCTTTCTCGGACAAAGGTGAAGGTGGGTACTCGAAAATCCAGCGCGCGCGCACTCCATAGGCGGCCCCCAAACGACTCAAAACCCCATTCTGACACCTGCGCGACACAGCCAGGGACGACGACAATGGTCTACACAGCACGGGCATCGATTTTTTCCCACTTTCAGGCACACCTTTGGCCCTAATATCTCCGAGGCGCGCAGGGCCTCACCAGAGTGTCCACTTCTTCTGTCCGACATTGCGGTGGGTATACCCACCGGTGTCAACTAATTTTTTCATGTACCCACTCATGCCTATATTTTTTACCCACTTTTGTCCAATTTGTACCCACATTTGTCCACTAGACCCACATGTTTATGGTCGCCAAATCTTTGTAAAAATGTCCAAATTTTCAAACATTTGCGGATAACGATTTCGTTTCACTTTTTATGGGAGAAAATCTTCGGCAAAATATTCTCATGATTTTGAAATGGGGCAAAAGTCGCTCGTTTGACAAAATCTTTGACAAACATTTTGAAATGGGCAGGTCGCGAAAATGTTTGGGCGGCGGAAAAGGCAAGCCGCGCCGCATTTTCGGCACACATGCCACCAACACACACGAACACACGAATACATCTACACGCACACGCACGAGAAGGCCGCGCCGAGGAAAAGGCGACGCCCAAAATGGATGAGGAGTCCATAATGGCCGGGGCTGCTGCCGCAGCATCGAGTTTGTAGAACATTGTGCACACGTTCGACTCCGATGGTGAGCAAGATGACCAAGAACCGGGTGGTTTGTTCGGCGATCTGCTGGTGGAAGAGGAGGAGGAGGAGCGCGAGAAGCACATCCGGCGCTCCTACCCTCGCCCGGAATACTGGAAGTCAACCTGGGGGGTACTGAAGCTGAGAGAGCTGAATGCTGCGGAGGAGGGACTGGAACCACCCGCAATGTCGAGAAGCTGTGCACTTTGCCGGCACCTTCCGCATCCCTTTCGTGTTGTTCGAGAGCTTTATGCAGACGGTCGCCTCCATCATCCCGTCTTCAGCCAGAGACGTCGCGGGCAGGGATTGCCCACCCGTGGAACTCAAGGTGTGTAGGCTGATATAGGCTGCTGTTGAAGTGAAGCCTGTATGCTGCTCGGTGAAAAGCTGCAGCGCGCTGTATTTTGGTCGAGAAGTTCACAACCACCGCCCGCTGTATTTTTCACTTCAAGTGCACGTCAGCGCTGCTGGACAATCGGAGGAACAGACCAATGTGTATACTGTTACAAGTATACTGCTGAACTTGTACCTAAGCTCACGGGGTGTTACACCCTCGAAGTAGCACGCCCTCGAAGTAGCACACGTGCGCGGAGTTGAGCAGTAAGCAAAGATCGCAAAAAGGGTACGTACTCTGCTGCTTGCCCACTCGTCGTCTCCGCTGTGCTCTGCAACTCTAAGGGGTGTTGTTATCAGGCCGAAAAAATACGTAACTTTTTTCACCGAATAGTAACTTTTTTCACGGAACCGTAACTAGGGTTTCCGGTGGCTCTTATCGGCAGAAGGCGCGAAGGCGCGTATTTTTTCAAAATTTACGGAAAGCGCCACGGCTCGACGTACACACACCGGTCCCGACCAGGCGAGAGACCCGAGGACTCCCACAACAGACGTGATAAACCCACACCAAGAACAACAACGCCGCTGCCATTAAAACCGCACTCGCCGATATTGAGCCAATGCTAGGAAAGGTTGGAGGATCGGAAAAATCGGAGTGGTCCAAAACAGAAGAGGAACACGCTTGCAAGACTGCTGAACACGACAGCAAAGCTTCTGGCCTCGCCCTCCACAAGGAAATGACCGAGTCCCACGCCGAATTCTCGAAGAAAA